TGGCCGGCCCAGCCCTAAACCACGACAATTAGCAACACTACAATTTATCCAGATGTTTATTTACTGTAAACAGATGTTTATTCATAGACCCTTTAAGTGAAAATCAAAGGATAATCTCAGTAGCCCATTTTTCTCTTTACAAATAGCAGAAATTAATTCCTCTGCCTCCCTTTTCTTTCATGTCTCTTTCTTTGCCCTCCCTCAAAGTCTGTATTTCTTCTGTTATGCTCAAAACATTTTATTCAAGAAAATTATTTTTTTATTGAAAGACTCAAAGAAACTGGTCATTACCATGTTTAACATTCTGTTAAAAAGATTTAGGAGAGAGGGTAATGTGCTTTAAAGCAGACCTTTTATTTCCTGAACTTTCCTTTGTGGAGTGAAAGTGTCACACCTATAGAGTAAAACAGTCTTCTAGGAACACTGGAGTATCAAAGGGGGTTTTTTTGGTGATGCCACAATAAAAACTAAATCAAACAAAAAAAACCCCAGCAAAAACAATGTATCATGGCTTTGTATTAGACCATGAACATGAAGAATCCATGAACACTAGTGCAATGTGTAGCCAGTGGCAGTGACTGCTGGTGTTGCCATAGAGGTGGGCTTCTCCACTCTGAATTAACAGCACTTTACTTGCGGGTACTGAAAGTACATTTATATCTATCTATCTATCTACACTTGCACTTTTAGATAAAAGTCTGATTTGGAGGTCAAAGAAAAACAGCGAGATCCATCTATTTTCTTAAGGATGTGGCATAAACTTTGGACTGTTAAACTTTCAGTGCCATAGAGACAGAGTTTGCTGGCCTTAGTGGGATAGTTTCTAGATCCTCGAAAGACTTTCTTTTTTGTCCACTACCATAATCTGTAGCTTGCTCAAGATTCAAAGTCCATGAGCTGCCTCATCTTGCATGCATGTGTTTCACTATTTTTTTTTCCCCACACTTTTTTTTTTTTTTAATCAGCCTGTTGAACCATTCCTATTCAACTTCTCTTGTAAAGCTCCATGCTGCCTCTTTAAGAGGAACGGTGGCAAGAGGTGGGAGAGGATGTATTTTTACAGGTTTCCATAGCTGGCTACTTTTCAAGACATGGAAAGTGTGAACTGTAACTCCTGAAACCATTCTTGGACAAAGCCATAATTCTGTTGCTCATTACAGTGCTAGAGACAAAATAGTTGCCCAGATGCGTAAGACAGGATGTGGACCAATAGGTCCTTTCATCTACATGATGAGGAAATAGGAACTGGGGGTGCAAAGAACATATGTGGTTTGACAGTGCAGAGGCAGCTCCGTTACATCTCCACTTAAAAACCTTCCATACAACAAATGCATATTTTGAAGCATAACCTGTCTGGCATCAGTCTTCCAGAAGCAGAAGAGTTTATAGTGAACAGCATTCTGCAGAAGAGGTGGAGAAGCTGCATGCATATCAGACTGGGTAATACCTACTTTGTATACTGAAATGAAGATACCAACTACAAAGACTCATTGCTCAACAGGGCTGCAAGTTTAGCAACTTGTTCAAAGCAAATCCTACAGATAGCATTAGCAGACCAGAGTGTGGCTAGTGTGTGTTAGCTCTTGTAGCCGTTCCTGGTATGTAGATCCCTCATACCCACTTGATGAGACTTAACTATTTTTCAAGTATGATCTTACCTTTACAGAATTCAGTAGTTTAGCTAACTGAAGGTTATTAAAAAGAAATTAAAAATAACTCTAACATGTACAAACATGCCTATTTATAGCATTTCATTTATTACCCATGGGAAAACAGAAGCAATCTCAGACAACAAACCAATGCAAAACCCATTAAGAACAGTATGGCTTGAGAATGACCTCTAATGCTTACCGAAGATCAAGACCCTGATTTTGCCAGATGTTTTCCATAATTCTAATTATCTGAAGTGTCAGCATGTCCTGACGCAAATCTGGAATAGTCATAGAAATTGCAAATTTTGTAACACTAGAACACTTTGTTACCTCTCATTTTACTTTTCCCCCAAAAAGTGTATGTCTACAGGAAATGAGGCTTGCATCATTTAGTGTAGGTTTTGATCTCTCAATAGAGAAAAGCATTGACAATGAATATAAATTTGTTGTGGCGATTTTCAAAGCTGTTTAAAGACAGAAACTAAAAACATGACAATGGAATTACAGATTATGCATCTGTAATACCTTGAAGACATTTTCAAGTAAAAAACCTGAAGTATTAAAAAGTATCTTGTTCTTCCTCAACAGACTGAGCATCTTAGAACGTACAAAATTTGTACATGACAGACAAATACTTATTTATGCTTAATTTTTCTAGAAAAGAAAAATGTTTTTCTTAGATGATTTTTTAAAAGTTATTTTTTTCAATATATGTATTTTATGTGCTTAGAAAAAATACTAAACAGTAGGTTAGGAAAATAAACAGATATGCAGCTTTTGGATTACACTTAGTTTTCCTTACCGTCTCCATTTTTAAAGATTATCTCATTGTTCTGAAATAATAATTCAGACATAATATCTGGGTTTTCCCAGTTCAACCACAGTGGCCTTTTTGCAGATGACATTATCCTGCACTCCTCAAGCCTATAAAAGAGAAGGTTTCTATGAAATAGGCACAATTTGATTCTCATACCATGTTTGTGTAATACTACTAAGTTCTCCCTGCTTTCTCCAAGCTGTCTGTACTAATATCAAACTAAATGGGTAACTGACAACCAACCACTTTTACTTTCAACTTCAAACTTAATAAATGCAATGTTAATCACTTGCTAAGCCCAATAGAAGAGCTGGCTATATTGTAAATTTTCCTTTGGTACTGCAGTTCCTGTCACCGTAAAGGAACAGCTAACTTGTCATGTTGTTTCCCAATTTGTTAAACCATTAGATTGAAACTTTTTCACTCTTTATAAATTACTCCGCTACAAATTGTAGGTACTAACATTTAGTATGTTAACATTTAACCTTAACATGTTAACATTATAAGCATTTACTTAAATAGCCAGACAAATTTCAAAACTGAAGACAATACCGAAGATTTCCCAGCTGATGTGCAGGATTAAGAGGCGAGATAAAGCCTTGTAAAGCATCCATGAAATCTGGCCGTCTCATTTGTTCGACAAGAAACTTCATTTGTACCTGATAAATAATCACATTCAGGTTTTTAGAACACTAATTATGTGTAAATGAAGGTAAGGATCAGATTTTAGCTTTGGTTTTAAAGCAAGGTTTTGAACAGTTTCAACATAAGCAATTCTGTTTAGCCATATCTTACACAAATAGATACCCTTTAGTTCTATTGCCTTAAGAGGTAGGCAATGGCAATGCACACAGAAAATATTATAACTTCTAGGATAACACGCCACCTGCTCAAGTTAGTATTAATACTTTTCTAGTTAATCAAATAAAACACAGTTCTAAGTAATTCCTTGACTCAACAGCAACAATTTTGGTACATGGACAGCTTATAATACCTTCTGGGTCTCATCTTTTTTTTCCTGCTTGAGAATATCAGTGAGGTTAATCAACTTCTCCATAGCCTCCACCTGCCTGCTCAGATGCTTTAGGTACATTCCACAAGCTCGACAATAGGACTCCAGGAGTAAACCAAACCTCTGACTTACAGTTTTATTGTGCATTTCAGACCTACACAGAGAGGAAGAACAGTTATAGCTTAAAGATAAGACCACTTAGAGGTGCCAAAAATGAAGCTATACCTGTAACACCTTCTTGAGAGCTGCTTACAGATCTTTTTTTCAGGTAAAAAACTTGCACTGACCTCCAACAACTCATTTCATTTTGACTGATCAGGCTTCAGTACTCTTTACAACTAATTCAGCACAGAGCTGACACACTTCTCCCCCATTCCTTCTTGCTCCATCCTGTCCTTCTCTACCCCTTGCCAATATTCACAACCCATGTTTCCCAGAAACTCTGTAGTAAGCCTCGAGCTTTCAATTCAAGTTCCAGATTTCTTCGCTGAGAATAAAGCTAACCTGTTTCATTTTTCTCCTTGTCTTATTTAGCCAATCCCAGGCTGTGACACCTCTAGTTTCCTTGTTCTTACTTATTCTCAGTCTTTGCACAGTCCTAAAACATCCCCTCAAACAAATTAATCAGGCAACTTATTCCATTATCCTTGATGATTACCAAGGGGAGTAGAAAACTGAAAGCACAGTAAAGATTCATTGAACCTTTCTCTGTGCCTGATCACACTATCTGAGAACAGCATTTTTAAGTGACAACTAGCTACAATTCAGTATGCTGTAGGCTGATTTATGCTCAGCCTTCTCAACACCAGCCCATGCTATACTTAGTAAGGAAGAACACAGATATTTTGATTATCAAGCTCTAGAAAAGTCTTTAATAAGCATGTATAAACAGTTATTTTTTTAGAGCCTTATCTTCAGTCAAATTGGTGGCTTTCTTTAGGCCTCAAGTATTTGTAAAATATTGTGGAAAAGACTGGTGGGGGATCTTGCATACAAAATAAAACTCAAGCAGCAGAAAACTGTCAAAGTTGTAAACAGCTAAAAATATGGGAGGCTTCCAGAAATCTTAAGACTCAGATTTTTAGAATAATCAACATTACATAAAAAGAAGTACAAGACCAAGTATCTATTATTAACTAGGTTTTGAAACTGCAAGGGATGTCTTCTATTACCAAATTCTATGTATTGAAAGTCTTAACCAATACAAAACAAACTTTATATAAGTGGCATTTTTTTCTAAAAAAGGACATTTAGTATGCCAAGCCTTTAGAACAACTAACTGTTTACAGCTAATAGGGATCCCACCACCCCTTAACATGATATTAAGCTTACTTTAAATGCCAAAAGAAGAAGTGTCCTATCCTTTGATTGGTCAGTGCCTTCTTGAGTAAAAATCTCACAAGTTGATTATCTAGATACTGTTCATATTTCAGAACCTAATTAAGAAGAGAAAAAAAATCAGCTGCAGTTATTATTTCTATGAAGAATATACAGATTAAAGGCAGTTAAATAAAAAGCAATCTATGTTTTACATTAAATTTTGTAGAATGACTGATCTTGGTATTAATACTTGCATGTGTTAGGATTTGAACAATATCTGCTAACAGTGCACTGTCTGCCTTTATTTCAGGAACTTACCATCTGATGCTTCCTTTACTGTTACCACATATTTTAGTCTCAACTTGCTCAAAATTTTAAGATGATGCTTCTGCTCATACTTTCCCATATGTTAGGACAGCTGAAATAGCTGCCTCTTCCAGCTGGCAGAACAGTTGTGCATCTCTGCAAAACTTTGGCATGTAATATGGACAAGCAAAATCACTGCACTACAGATAACAAACTACTTTTCAACTCCTCCTCTTAAATAATCTGCAATCCAAATAGATACTTCTGATGACCTCTTTTTCACATAATCTTAACTTATGTTGTATTTTAAGCCTTATAGGATCAAATATACACAAGACATCAAGTACACCAAAATATGTTACATACCTGTACTAGCTGGATTAAGTACTGAGACAGTTTGTCATCTGTCAAGGACTTCTCTAGACACCGAACTGCAAAAGCTCGCACCATTGGATCTGGGTAATTACAGTCCAAAAGCTCCATTGCTTGCTCTGGCTTGATTGAAGGCCAATCTTTTACCAAACAGTACATCTGTGAACAAGAAGTCCAAGCACATTACACATTTGCATTGATTAGGAAGAAACTGTAATACACAGCCATTGGAAGGTACTGTCAGACACAAACTGCATCTGAATAGAAGCTGCTTGCTTGCCAGTCCCCTCTCAGGAAGTAATTTGGTATTAGTTGCCAGCTGACTGTTATTTTATCCACTATAAAAATAATGAAAACAAAGTCTCACATTAAAGTGTAGTTGACAAATCAACAACTATGGACCAGACTGATCAGTCATTTATAGTGTCAATCTGAATCATGTAAGATTTCATCCAGCATATCATGCACACAGAACGTGTTTTTGACTTCCGGAAGTTCTCTTTAAAATAGCATATTTTAAAGGATCTCCAACACTTAAAAACTAATTCAGTGCCATATGTTACCTGAGCCACTTCATCTCTAGAATTCCATTTAACAGACAGAAGTAATTTGGGCAGAATTTCTGGAATATTTACACAATAGTGTCTGCAAAAGAGAAAAAAAAAGTTGTATGTACAAAACATCATTTTTCCTTTGATAATCATATACTACTTCTCCTCAGTCTTGCACCTTTTTCTTCGTCAGCAGAATCCAGTCGATACCATAATGTGGTGTCAAGATCCACGTATGAAAGTAAAACTGCAGTAATAGGGAAAATGTCAACTAATTCAACAACTGACTTTTCTTCATGGGCTTATGAACCAAGACATACAATGCAGAATGCCTTTTCTAAAACACTAATCCCAACACTACAGAATACAGAAAAGGGAGCAAAAGCCAAGACAATCATGATAAATCTGGAGTAAATGGGGTGAACTTTTACTGAGACAAGGGTTTTTCTTTGATTCGGTTTTTGTTTTTAAATACCTGTGACTCCAGAGGAAGTCCTTCTCTTGCTCAGTGATTTCAGACAAAGGATCTCGTGTACATATGGCTCGCAGTTGTTCCTTGTCACTTTCTCTTAATTCATTATCTCTAGCTATTCTGTTACTCTGCAGAGAGAAAGCAGTCCATTAACCCTCCACACATTTCCTGCTGTTGTCATACAACATACATGAAACTATTTTAACAGCATAGCAACACTTAGAGTCTATGTCATGCAATACTATCTTGTTGTTTCCTTTTCTTACAACTGAGGACTTACAATTTAAAAATAGAGAGAGATTAAAGACTATGCCTTTGATTTTTACAACTGCTTTTACTCACTATTGGGACAAGAAGTACATTTCAACTATATCAACTGTATGGAGAAATAGCAGCAGTGGACATCTGATGAAGAACATAATGCAGCACAAAATGAAACTGGTCATTTCTGTCTACAGGTTTGAGATTGCTGAGAGCTGCTGAAAGGAGTGAAAGAATCAGAACTAAAAACACAGAATATGGGGGATGAAGCCAGGTAAATAAAAGGTAGAACACTGTAGGAAAGCCTGAGTAAGACAAAGACTGGAATACATTAACCAGAACTAGTATAAGATATTCCCCAAAAAACACAGAAAATAGAACTGGTACGCATTGATATTAATTTTACCTACGACTTCATTTATTAGAACCAGCTTAGACCAATGGCAGAGGTATTGAAACTACTACTACTTGATTTCTCACAGCTCGTGCCAAGTTCAATTTTTCTCCTATACTTCCCAAGTCTTAGTTCATTTAATGTGTTCTTCCCAAAGCAATACGAAATTACACAGTTTCTGAGGTTTCACCTACAGAATCAATTGCACTGCAAAAAAGAGAAATCTTAAAGAGCTTTTATTATTGCCTTTACTATAAAATACAATCGTATTAAGTTTGAGACTTAAGATGAAGCTATTGCTAAAGTGTCTCAAAACCAAAAAAGTTGAACGGGTTTTTACAGTGAACTCACATTTACACAGCTGTACAATACCTACTACCAGAAAAGAGTAAGATCAACTCTTTTCCAAGATCAAATTAAACTGCAGCACCACAGTATCTGACCTTCTGTT